GATTGCGATGCGAGAGTGAAAATAACGATTGTCTTTACAGGAGCGCGCCAGAAGTGATTTTTCAAGGGCGGTACAGTCACGCTAGCGATGTGTGGTCATTTGGCGTCTTGGCATGGGAACTGTTTGCAGCGTTTTCATCTGGTGAAAACTTACCAGAACGAACGTTCCCCTATCATGATCTTTTGGACCACGTGGTAAAACGTCTTACTCTGTTTTTCTATATACCGCTTGATAATAAGCGCTCCTTGAAAACGAGCTCAGCAATTACTCAGTGAGTCAATCGCTCTGACGAAGGGCGAACGCTCGAAACGTCAGCTTTTATACCCTTCACGATGGCTAATTTAAGTTTTCAACTCAGTTGTTAACACTAAATTACCTGCTATACTCTCCCACCGACGCAGCACCATTTAGAAACTTACTCCCTTTATTAATTATTCAATGACATTCGCGAAAGAGTGTGATACACTCAGTTGTAAAAAAGCCTAAGGTGAGTTTTCCCCTCATAAACATGTAAAATATTCGTTTGGTCAATGTAATCTAGTGCGACTTTTTAAACTTTCTTTGCAGGTTGGTGTGAGCTTTGTAAGCAACAATCTCCTTCAAAAACCACGTTCCTGTCCAGATTGGATAGATATCATAATTCGTGAATGTTTGAAATATCAAGCCGAGGAGAGACCACCGGCCATTGCGCTCTATGATTGTCTGTCATGCAGGTAATTCATATTATATCCTGAATGTGTGACCGTAGCTCAAGCGTTTCATTGCAGATTTTTTATAGGTCATCACATGATTTAGAGTGCAATTTGGAACCAATAGGCACAAGTAAAATTTTCAAAGACTAACAAAATTTCATCAGCCCGTTGGGCGAGTGCAATTTGTGGTCTCTGAAAAAATTAACAATCGCTTATTTATTCCAAATTGCACGTGAAAAATCGTATGATTATGTGTTAATAATATACATGAAAAAATACGAGATAGCTTATCATAATTATGCTGAGAAGCAAAGCGCCCGCATCAAGTGCAAAAATAATTTATTTGTATAGGTAATCACATGATTTCGAGTGCAATTTGGAATAAATAAGCACGAGTAAATTTTTTGAAAGACTAACAAAATTGCACGAGCCCGTAGGGCTCGTGCAATTTTTGGTCCTTGAAAAAATTAACAAGTGCTTGTTTATTCCAAATTGCACGAGAAAAATCATGTGATTACGTGTTAATAATATACATGGAAAAATTATCATAATTAAACATAAGCAAAGCGCGCATCAAGTGCAAAAATAATTTATTCAAACTGCGCGTTCGGTCAAAACAACCGCGTACGATCAAAACAATAATAAATTATGCAATGATATCTTCACATCTTTAGCAAAGTGTTAAGCTGGGTCAGCTCGTAATTTCGATTTCCTTGGCAATTCCCTTCTCTGAACACCACTTTTTCCAAACCGACAACCAAAAAGCAGTGCTTTTTACAGGGTTTTCGTTGTCAGAGCTGTATTTCAGCTGCTGTATTGTTGTGGCGGTGGTGAAAAAAAACCTACTTTAAACGCCGGCCATTGTTTCGCTCGCAAATTTTCAGCGTATCCAAATGTTGCGACATCCAAGGCTCGCATTTGATTGGCTATCCGTGAGTTTCTTTGACTATTAACCAATCAGAATGCCTGGTTTGTTACTTCTTTGCACTGAATCACCCCTCTTCTGCAACGAATTACCTGAAAACTGAATTCATCTCAATCAATCAGAACTGAGTAATTTTTTCCTGTATAATATTAAGAATAAAACAGGCACGAATAAACGTTCAATTTCATTTTAGAAAAGCTACATATTGCCCGAGAACGCAACTACAAGTTATGCTCATGAAGTTGTGTTTTGAAGTACTTTTAAATTGAAATGTTGCATTCAAAATCTTAAAATAGTTGGCATTTTAACTTGTGGTTAGCACTAAAAGTTTCTAGCTGCCGTCCGCGTGATCAAGTTTTTGAACATTGTAATAGGTCAGTTTAAGCGGTATGCCGTTGTAAATGTATAGTAACTGTCATTTGCACAACTGTCATACAGTTTACTTCCACGGTAGTACTACTTGTTATATAGACGAGTAGGTTCAGTTTTCTGTTGGAAAAAGTCAGCTGTTATGTTATGATGACTACGCTCACCGAGTGGATGTCTTATTTCTAAACTTCCACTGCAGTTTTGAACTATTGGTTTGTGTCGTCAAATTCTGTCCGTAATCATCGGCTCATAATTCACACGTCAAACCTTTGCTACCTTTCCTGTCTGGTTTTAAGGGTCACTCGTTTGGCAACAGATTGACTACATCCGGTAGTATTACCATAAATGATATATAAAGCAGTAATGGTAATGGTAATAATAATAATAATAATGATAGCATGAGTAATAATAATAATAATAATAATAATAATAATAATTATAGCATGAGTAATAATGATGATTATAATGACGATAAAAAGAAGTAGGATAAATAGTAGGATAGGTAGTAAATTCTGAAGTAACTGATCTACGAAAAATAAAATTGATGTGATATGAAAAAAAAAAAAAAAAGAGTATTGAAGAATTGTTGGGGACGTGAACATATCTAATTCCGTCATAATAGATGTGCGAGATAGTTTGGGATGAATAAATAATGCTAAAACATAGCCTACATTACTTCATTCGTTGTTTTCATTGCCAACAAATGACCTCTAATAATTATTATTACCAATTTTAGGGTGCTAAGGCAATCTTGGTTGATAAAATTGTGGATACGAAATCATAACATAGAGGAGTGGCCTGATCTAACCATCTGTCAACCAGAGGATGCACCTCACGTCTTAAAGGAAGAATGTCGTCCTCGGATGGAGGACATCCAAAAGATGTGCCAGAAAGGCTTCGATTCGACGTACGATCTACCCCCATCGTAAATTCCATCAGTACAATCAGTAGCTATACTTGCGAGCCAAAGTGAACATCAGACATAAGGAGGTTCTGCCAGTATTAACTGAGTAAGGAGCATCGCCTGGCATGAAGCGTTGTGGAGTACATAACCAGCGGACTAAACAGTTCGTATCCAGACCTAACGACTATAAAATGTAAAATATAAAATATTACATGGTAGAATATAATTTACAAGACGTTTGCGCAAAACAGTCAAAATTGAAATATTCTTTCCGTGATGCAGTCTGATTCAGGCTTTTGTAAACAAAGGTCAATATAGTTCTATTTAAAGTGAAGACATTCATGACATGTCTCTAATTTCTAAAGTTTTAGTTTAAGGCCTAAATCAAACTATTGCTGACACCGACGGAGTCTTCTTGGATGCCCTCTAGACTTACAGTCACTTTACTTTTTTTCGAAATCTAAAGACACGTTGATCTGAGCTGAACGTGAGCACACCAAGACTTGGAAATTACTGTCCAAAAAAACTTTTGACTTTATGGTTTCAATGCGCTAAGCGGGAAATTTACTTGTTAGCCTAAAATGTAATCGTCCTTTGCAAACCATCGGTGCAAATTGGACAGTGAGCAATGTTTCATCAGGCCTCCTCAAAACCATTCGAATGAAATAGGATAGTTTGTACTTTTGTAGACAATTTGATTTATTGATTTATTTGTTTTGCCCTAGCCCTGGCATGTTGTCATTAACCCTCGAACTTATTGCAACAGAAGCTTTGTCATCAGTATATAATTAGTGCAATTAACAGATATTTTATCATACTAAAGTCTCTAAAGATCTCTGTTGGCGAATACCACGCAATAGCACCAACTTTTTACTCGTCCTGTGCTACAACTTAAGAAACAAAAATGCAAGCGGAAAACCGTTTATTTCGCGTGTTTCATCGAGAATTAATCTTTAAGAGTTATTTTTAACGAAAGAAATGGCTTTTTAGCGTACCGGATTGGTAATTCTTGTCTGTCTTTCTCACTTTTTCGTTTTCTCTGTACTTGCTACACACGTGTATACATGTATACATGTACTTCACCCATCTGAATCTTCGATATCTTCAAAAACGGTCAGCGGTAGTCATGGCGGCTGGTTGTAAGTTTTCCCTCTCTCCTGTTTTTACCGTTTTTTTAGTTTGTCTCTTAGCCTGCAATAGTTTTACTTTCTTCAAAATACGACTATCTCATCCCAAGACTTGTCTGCATCCTGTTGGAGGCGTCATAGGCTTGGAGACGACTCGAAACTTCTTTGTTGCACTGACATCGCGAGTCCGCCATCTTGGAACACGTGCGAAGGGATATTTTGGTACAGACCTAACTCGATATCCCAATTCTGTTTCTACATTTAATATCTCAAGATTGGTACAATGTGGAGACATCGAAATAAACCCTGGACCAGGACAGTCATTATCTCCGGGATTATCCACAACTCGCAAAAAACCTCTTTGGAAGTGCCCTTGTGATGTATGTACGAAGCCGGTTCGCTCCAATCAGAAAGGGATTCTCTGCGATGGTTGTAACAAATGGTTCCACCTAAAGTGCATTACCATGGATCTACAGGCTTATATTGACTTGGGGTCTTCTGATGAGCAGTGGTTCTGTGACAAAAATTGTGGGTGGCCTTTTAACTTCACTGATTCATTCTTTGAATCGTCCTTCTCAACTGGGCAGAATGTAAGCTTAAGCTCTGATGTCTCTGCGGAATCTTCTCCTCGCTCTGCTAATGGCTTCTCTAAGTGCTTACTATTAAATACGAGGAGTATTCGAAACAAGATCAACGACCTAAATGCTCTGTTATTAATGGACTCCTTTGACATTGTTGCCTTGACGGAGACTTGGTTAGACAATGAATTTGATGACCGTGATCTACATCTTGAGGGTTATAGTATCCATCGTCGGGATAGACGTGGTAAGCGTGGTGGAGGAGTGTTGCTCGCAACTAAATCACACCTGCCATGTGTACGGAGACACGATCTTGAGGTAAATGCGGAGATGCTAGCCTGTGAATTAAAGACCAGTAATACACGATGTCTATTATTTGCAGTTTTTTACAGACCACCAGACGTCGAAGAGACGTTCTTGGATGAATTCAGGAGATTTCTCAATAAAGCTTCTGGTACAGGAATCGCTGATTTAATTATCACTGGCGATTTTAATTTTCCCTGTGTCGATTGGTCTACTGGATCACCAACTAGTTTAGACAATTTGACTGAAACTTTTTGTGAAATCCTGGATGACCATTTCCTCACCCAAACAAACCCTTATATCACCCGTCCCAGTGCCACTAATACCTTATCATCTGGTAACATCTTAGACCTTGTGTTGACGAATCATGAATCACTCATCGAAGGAACTACTGTGCACCCAAATGGATTTGATTCAGACCATTTCCCAGTCTGTTTCGCGATCAAGAAAAAGTTCAACAGGCCCAAAAACAGTCCAAGATTAGTTTACCGATATGATAAAGCTGACATTGATGGTCTAAGAAATACATTCTCTCACATCTTATGGGATTCCTATATATCTTGTGAGGACATTGACTCAGGTACGGCGAATTTCCAAGATCTTGTTCTCGCGGCAGTCAATCAACATGTACCAAAGATGAAGCTTAGACGCAAGCCAAGACCTCCATGGATAGATAAAGAGGTCTTAAAGTTAGTGAGGAAAAAGAAAGTCTTGTGGAAGCGTTTAAGGGCCAATGCTTCTCTTGAGGTGACAACAAAGTTTAAATTTCTTAGGAAACAGACCAAACGTCTTATCTCCTTTAAGTATTTCCAGTACTTAAAGTCTCTATCGGATAAGCTGAAGACTAATCCAAGGAAGTTTTGGTCTTTTCATTCTCTTAAATCCAAGAGCAAGAGACTGCCAGAAGTAATAACTTACTCTGGCAAAGCCAGGTCTGCTAAAGATCCTGTGGAAAAAGCTTCCCTGTTCAATGAATTCTTCAGCTCCGTGTTCTCTACAAAAACATCAAACTCTGACAGCTCTCATGTTGATGTGATCAACCCTAACTTATTGATGGATGTATTCACTTCGTACAGTGAAGTAAAGAATATCCTCTGCAACTTAGACATTAATAAAGCAACTGGAGTAGACGGCATTCCTGCGAGGATATTGAGGGACTGTGCAGAGGAGCTATCTTACCCATTGGTTCTACTGTTTAACTTGTCGTTCAGGTGTGGGAGAGTTCCTTCTTCATGGAAAAGAGCTAATGTCACTCCTGTGTTTAAATCAGATGCTAAAGATGTGGTAGAGAATTATCGATCTATATCCCTGTTATCGATTCCAAGTAAATGCCAAGAGAAGATTGTATATAATGCCATATATCCTCATGTGGCCCCTTACCTGACAGATTGGCAACATGGTTTCATAAGGGGTCGCTCGTGTGCTACCCAGTTGGTATTAACACACCATCAGTGGACAAAGGCCTTGGATGATGGACTACAGGTGGATGTTGTGTTCTTAGATTTTTCTAAGGCATTTGACAGAGTATCACACGATATACTCCTTCTGAAGTTGTGTAATTTCGGCATCTCTGGTAGCCTACTAAGATGGTGCGAGGATTATTTGACCCACAGAGAGCAAAGGGTTGTTATTGAGGGACAGAGTTCTGCCTGGTCTGTCATCCCATCCGGTGTACCACAGGGCTCCCTACTAGGGCCATTATTTTTTGTAATATTCATTAGTGATTTGCCTAATGTGGTTATGCCTGGAAACACAATCGCACTGTACGCAGATGATTGTAAAACATCAAGACTGATAAACTGTACATCAGACCAACATGATTTTCAATCTGACCTGAATAATCTACACATCTGGAGTCAGCGAAATCTAATGGATTTTAATGTAAAGAAATGCAAACTGATGCGTATCACGAAAAAAAGTATGCCTTTTCGTTCTGACCTTAAGCTGAATGAGAGCTCTCTGGAAGAAACATCTGAATTCTGTGATCTTGGATTAGTTACTAGTAACAAGTTGTCCTGGAATGCTCATGTTGATAAGATATCAAGCAAGGCTAACAAGATTCTTGGCCTTATTAAAAGGACATGCAAGGGTATGAAAGATGTTAACACGTTAAGAAGGTTGTACTGTGCTTTGGTAAGGTCCCAATTGGAATACTGTACTATTGTCTGGTCACCCTTCACGGCTAGAAACATTAACAGATTGGAAAGGATTCAGCGAAGAGCCACCAAGTTTATTCTAAAAACTGATGATGATTACAACACTCGTAAAGAACAACTGAACCTGTTATCTCTAGAGGACAGACGCTTCTTTTTTGATGTACTATTTTTTTATAGAGTTCTTAATGGGTATATTAATATAGATATATCCTCTTATATCCAATTTTATTCGCATTCGGAAAGATACTCGTTGAGGGGTAAGGACGAACTTAAATTAAAAAAGAACTACGCGAGGACTAATACTTTTAAGTTTTGCTATTTTAATAGGATTGTCCACATGTGGAATGGGCTGCCACTATCGGTCCGTCAGGCTTCAAGTGTTTCTTGTTTTAAAAGGGGTGTAAGGGATTACTTGACTGCAAGATCTGATTGATTTTAGTTTGGATTTGTTTTTTTTTTGTTAAAGGTGGTCTGCCGTGCATGGGGATTTATCTCTTTTGCGGACCATCCTTATGGCACCTTTCCTTTTACTCTTTTGTATTATTATCTATTAATGTAAGTATGTAAGTAAGTAGTAAGTTATATGTGCCATTAAATTGTAATAAATAAATAAATAAAATAAATAAAATCGTAATCGAGAGGAAGAGTGTGCGCATGAAGACCCTTTGCACATGCCACAGGCCGAGGAACCGGCGCCACATGCTTGGTTATAAACACGTTTTCGCTGGTTCCTGCAGTCTATCCCATGTTTCGATGCGATGCTGTCACTAAAATCTGAGCGGGAGGCGCCAAGTGGACCAACCACGTGAATGTGAACATACTCGTTTCTGGGTATCCGGGGTGTCTGAACAATGTTCAATGCGCATGCACAGGCGCAGTGCCGCGGAACAGGCAGCTAGAGTGAACAGGGCCTTATTGTTTAAGCTTGGGAATCTTCCCTCTCTGCGCAGACTTTTAACATTGCGTCTTTTCCTTCGATTGTTATTACTGTAATCTCCATCCCTGATCCTATCCGCTGTCATCCAAACTCGCGACTTTAGTACTAACATCTAAGTAGCTTAAAAAACGAATACAAATAACCCTCTTGATCGAGATTGCTCAATAGTATTCTCTGACCTCGGGCAGAAGAATCGTTCAGTTTAATGCCTGATGTATTCATCAAAGAAACTGCATACATTTTAAATTTAATGTCGTTATTGATCTGCCGTCGCAACAATTACGAGGCGGACATTTTGATAAGTCCTTGGTTATACTCCCTCGCGGATTGATGATGGAAAGAAAAACGCAATCATCAAAAACTGAGCGCAATCATCCGTGCAGTCATTACATGACTTTGTTAGGAGCGCGAGGTAATTCAAATTAACTGCTAACTAAACTTGATACAGTTCCACAAAAGTTGAGTAAACTTTCTCAGCAACTCAACCTGTCTAGAAGGTCATTACTTCCATATTAGGTAAGTAGTAAACCGTATGCAGATTGCTAGTAGCCTAACTCTCTCTGAATATTAAGGTAATTCCTCAGT